ATGACCGAAAACCTGAGTCACTTTCGGCCGGATGGCCGAAAGTCTAAGTCAATTTCGGCCGAAACCGAAGAAAAACCGAAAGTTAACTTTTCTCTTTCGGCCGAAACCGAAATTAAGCCGAAAGTTAACTTTTCAGTTTCGGCCGAAACCGAAACTTGGCCGAAAGTGATGAAATGGCCACTTTCGGCGCCGAAACCGAAGCCGAAGCCGAAATTCGGTCGGTCTCTAGTCTGGGGTGTTCCCAGCCCCATCCAATCATTTGTATCGGCCACTCGGCTAGCTAGTGAGGCACTGTCTCCGGCGCTTGTCCGCAATGACGGCAGCTCGGGTCCCGAAGAGGATGTAATCTGTCCAAGTAACGTCGAGTTGGACAGTGTTATGTTCTCATTCTAGGTGATGAGGCTCTGGTGTTCGCATTTTCACCGCCCCCATAGATCCCCTTTCCTGTTCGGGTGTGGCATTTTCCCGTAAACTTTACGGGATGTATCACCGCTCTCCCATTTCTCTAACTACTCCTCTTTAAAGATTTCTTTCATCCAGGCCATGACCCCAAATATAAGTCAATGCCTCAATTACTCAATGACTCTATAAAACCACAAATCAAAAGTTCTCATATTTGCAAGTCACGAATTAACATTAGGCGAAATCAACAAACCCCACTTGATGGAATGGTCATTTTTAGAAAAGTCCCTTTGACACGGAGACTTAATAGCAGTAACATAATATAAATAAATACATTATTAAAAACAAAACTCACGTAGTCATGCAACTTACGTTGATAGTAAAAAAAAAATATTAAAGTGAGATATGTACCTAATTATTGTGCCTAAGTAATCATGCACCGTTTAGCACCGATACACGGATATTGAACGTAAGTGCTCCAAGCGGGAAATAATTGAGTATCTAGTCGCATGTCACATCAAACTTGTGGATAATTGAATGATCGCCCCACGCTATGACAACACACAATGTAGCAGTCGGCAATGTCATAATAGGTTTGCTGGCAAGCTGATTTTGGTCTTCTCTCAACAGCTGGTCGTAGGTGGAGAACATCAACAAGTGTGAGAGTAACCGCTTTTTTTTTGTGTTGTTTGTTTTGTGTTTTTGTTTTTTGCTCATGTTCAAACGTAGTTGCTCGTCATCTTGAAACAGAAATGATTATAACTAAAATATGAACGGTCTAGCATCAAAACTAGTCTGTAGATGTCATGAGATGGCCATTCGCAAATTAAATGGCTGACGTCCTGATATGAACCATTACAGACCCGTTATACAAGTTCAGTACAATAAAGCGTTTCAACCATTTTTTTTTCACCCCTTCATAACATAACTTTAAATGGCGAAGTTTATTTTCAGAGCTCAATGTTGGCGGGAGTTAAGAGCACACTTGCCCCTGCTGAGATACGCCGCAGACGCCAAAAGTTGAAGCAGGCGATCGAGGCATTTGTGCAAGCCATGGTCAACGAGGCCATCGGCTGGTCCACGGCCAACTGGCTGATACAAGGGTTGTTTACTTCTTTGCTCTCAGGCTTGTAAGTTTTGAGAACCAGTGGCACCACTGTGTGTCTGAGCATGGTCGAATGCCTTGGGGGTGGGGTGTTTGGGTGCGGGGCTAACAACAGTTAGGCCACTGAGGCACTTCCCCAAAATTAATAAATTTTAAAATAAAATATAGCAATATAAATATTTGATGATTCAATTATTTATTTTTAGTCGTTTTTGAATTCCCAAAAATTGGTATTAATCAGACACTATTAAAAAAATCTACTCCAATATATTAATAACTTACTTAAAGGGACATTAAAAACAGCTCATATCTGACCGCCGTACTATGCTCTCGTGCATGCCTGGAGGTTTAACGGAAGTAGAGCACCCCCCCCCACCACATAACCGTTGTCTAAGCTTATGGACTCTATCATTCTTTGCCTGCACACAAAAAAAAAATGCGGCACCATCCCTTCTTTACCACACCAGTTGTTTGTGACATTATAAAACATTGATATCTTCGGAAATAGTATACATTTGTTACATGTGACAATATTATACATTGTTAACTGTGACAAAGTAACCCATTTCCATTCCATCTGTGATATTATAAACCATTGCCACCTGTCGTAAAGTAACCCATTGCCACCTGTCATAAAGTAATCCATTGCCACATGTGACAATATAACCCACTGTTATCTTCCAGGGGCTTCCTGTTCATCACACTGGCCTTGGAGTACATCAAACAATACAGCAAGGAACAGAAGAAACGAGAACGCGCGGTCAGTGTTGCGCGGTGGTCAAAGCTTTTAACGGTGGTGACAGTTGTCATACTTAGACATGTAAACGGCGGTGACAGTGGTCATACTTAGACATGTAAACGGCGGTGACAGTTGTCATACTTAGACATGTAAACGGTGGTGACAGTTGTCATACTTAGATATGTAATCGGTGGTGACAGTTGTCAGGCTTAGACCCGTAAACGGTGGTGACAGTTGTCAGGCTTAGACCTGTAAACGGTGGAGGCAGTTGTCATATTTAATTAAAGTTGTGAACATTGATGACAGTTGTCTGTTTAGAGCTGTAAACGGTTGTGACAGCTGTCAGGCTTAGAGTTATAAACGGTGGTGACAGCTGTCAGGCTTAGAGTTATAAACGGTGCTGGCAATGACTGTTGCCTGAGCTCGAGCATTGAATGTTGAGGTTTTAATATTTTATGTTTAATTACGCGCCAACTGCCTACAAAGTGCGAGTGTTGGTTACAATAGGCATCAAAAGGGGCAGTCTAAACTTATACAACAGTCTACAAAGTGCCAGTGTTGGTTGCCACTGGCGCCAACAGGGGGAAGGAAGTCTAACCTTATAATGTCAACAAAATTACTTACACTATTGCCTTACATTTAACTGACACAATTGACCATTTCATAAGTCCGAAATTATTCAGGACACTTTTAGTGATATTGATTTTAAAAAAAACAAAAAAAAAAAAAAACAAAAAAAACAAAATTCATAAGTCCGAAATTATTCAGGACACTTTTAGTGATATTGATTTTAAAAAAAACAAAAAAAAAAAAAACCAAACAAACAAAAGAAACAACGTCAACACTAGTTAGTAAGTTAGTAATTTCCGAGTTATTTAGTTAATACACTGATATGCTGCGGGAACCCCCGTTGATTGGAAGTTGCTGGAAGGCAAGGAAGATGTTAAGTGTTTAATAATATTGAGATTATTTTGCTCTTAGTATAATGAAAATTTACCATATGGTATCCAAAGACAGTCGAGTAAGCAGATTAGTGAACATCATTTAAGCTTTTCAATGTTTGTAGTTAAACTAGTAAGCAAAAAAAAAAAAAAAAACCAATTCTGGCGGACTGAGTTCCCACCTCTGACCACTTTTTTTTTCAAGTCACCCCCTACTGTACGTTCAGTGTCTATCCACACCATCGGTACGCCTTTGAGTGATGTATACACAATCCATGTTAGTTAAATATTTTTTAACATAAATAATGTGTACATTCAAAGTGGCAGAAACGCACCGCATCCCACATTTTAAAAAAGAAATAGGTTCTCCGCAATATTTTATGCTGTACTATTTTATTAGTGGATTAATGTTTAAAAAAAAATTTTTTATTGATTAAAATTCATCTGCAGAGATTAATTCACGCCATTCTGAACGGCGAGGAGTTTCACGATTTTGAAAAAGCAGGGGCCATAATCCCTGCCGAGAAGGGCACGGTTGTCCGCCCGGGCATCCGCGGTCTGACGTCAGTCTTCGGCGCCTACAAGAAATACGGCGGCTTTCTGGGGATAGGCCGCGGCTACAGCGCCGACAGCCACCTGCCGAAGGTTGAGGAGGAGGACGACGACACGGATCACCAGTTCATAGACAAGCACAGCAACACCTGCCTGGACGCGCCCACGTGGTCGAACCTCAGCTTGGAATCGTGGAAGCAGTCTCAAGCCGCAAAGTGTCGATCAGATCGGTCAGAGTCCTTGCAGACCCGCAGCAGACCTTACCTGCCGCACGCCGTGTTTTCAAGCGCCGTCCCGTCGAACGTGAGGCTCTGGTCTCAGCCGTCGTTTGAAAATGAGGAGTCGATGAGCTCGCTGAAGACTATAACCAAGAGTGAGGGTGATTTCTTCAGGAGGCTCATCCAGAAGTACCCTTACATAGCCCCATTTTTCAAGAAGGAGCTTTTGAAGAAGATCGAAATAAAGGGTAAGAAAAATCCCGAGGACGAACAAGGGAGAAAAAACTTAGGCATCAACAAAGGCAAGCGCGAGAAGATTTCCTCGGATAGCACCACCAGGGAAAACAATCGGCGCTATAGAAAAGGTGGAGCCTTCAAAGCGGACAGCAAGAGCGAAATGACGCTGAGTACATGCGACACTGATGTCGACAAATCTTATGGCATTTCCAGCTCCTCGTCGAGAAAACAAAGGGCGTCTCCGAAGTCGGCACCTCAAAGTCACAAGTTTAATTCCCGCACGACATCCCCAAACAAAGTTCAGAAAGTTATTTATTCCTTTCGCGCTCCGGCTACGCTAAAAACGTCTTCGGGGAGCCTCAATCTGGATTCTAAATCGAAAGATTTTAGAAAAGATAGCAGTGACACATGTTCAAAAACCATAAAAAAACGGACCAGTTTTCCAGCGCATATCGCAAAGAATACAGAACATAATAAATCCACCGACCCCCGCACCACGGACGATACGACAAAAAGTTCAACCGTGCAATCGTCAGTGGAGCAAAGTGTTTTGATGCTGTATTTGTCTCCGCGAAAGGGTAAAACTTCAGCGAGGTGCCATTCCTCTGTTGAAAAACACATGAGACCCGTCCTCGTAAGTTGTGAACATGTGACCAGTCACAGAGACTCGGAGCACGCCACAAGAGTTCCGACGGCCCCACGAGATGAGCCCCCAACCAATACTGGACACGGCGAAAAGCCTACTATGGATGAGAAACTTAACGGTTGTGCCATTATGAAATCTTTAGTTGACATAACGCAGGCTCCCTCGACGATAATTGGTGCGGACACTCAAAACCAGTCCGACATCGAAGTGGCAATCGCTAACATCATGTCTCAAGGCTGCGAGAAGACAGAGACCAAATTGCCAGGGCGAACTCCGAGCCCCGACGTAAAGGCGGATAATGGTGTTGGTCACGAGATGAGCAGTGAAGAGCCCGTGCACAGGAAAACGTCACCGAAACGAGGCCGGAGTCCGTTACTTAAACAAGAAAGTAAAAAATCATCAAAGAGTCGAGGTGGTACAGCATCGCCCGGTCGAGGAAAGAAAGAGTCACCGAAGAAAACTAGTAAGACGTTAAACGAGGAAGGTCGTAGAGATGTCAAAAAACGAATTAGAAGCGAATCGAAAAACCGAAGCAGCAGCGAATCAAAAAATCTAAGCAGCAGTGAATCGAAAATTCGAAGTGTCAGCGAGTCAAAGAGGAAAAGTAACAGTGTTCCAAAGAATCCGGTCGCCAGTAAGTCTCCGAAACGTGGTGTGAAAAAGTCAAGGAATGAAGACAAAACCGAAGAAGGTTATCATCTCAAAAATACCAAATCAAACAAATTAAAAAATACCCATAGCAATCACGACCAACATAAAAAGACGAAAGTCACAAAGTTACATCGTAAAAATAAATCGTCTTCACCGGCTTACATAAAAACGAAAAGTCCTAAAATGGCGGATGAAATGCGTGAAGTGACGGCTAAAGATAACAAAGCATCGCGCAAGGCGTGGTCACGCCAGAAACCTAACAAGCAAAAGAAACCTAAGAATGAAGAGGCCGTAACGCTGGCTAAAAATGAAAAATCACCCAGCCTGCAACATAAACCGGAGAAGCGGACAAAAAGCACGGCAGCACGTGACAAGACATTCAGTTCTCCGAAACTCCACAAGTCTCCGACCAAATCAGCTTCGGAGAAAACCCTCAGCCCAGGTTTTAACGCAGAAATGTATGCGTCATCAATCCACGAGGTGATCTCGGCAGAAGATTACGACAACGCGATCAATCAGTTCCTTCGCGGGAAGGACGCAGAAAGGTCCTTTAAGCAAAAGCACATTCGACCACCGTCCGACCAAAAACTGATATCGCCGCCCAAACAAGGCAAAGGGGCCAGCGTCAATACCTTGTGGAAGAAAATGAGTCCGCCGTTGGCTCGGATATCGTCCCCTGAAACCAGCTGTAAACCAGTTTCATCGGCCACCCAGCAGAGAGCTTCGCCAACGTCGTCATGCAGCCAGGTCATGTCACAGCCAACGAGCTGCATGACGATCAGTAGACTTCCCGTAAAGGTGTCACCGATTGGCTCAAAAGGAAAGTCTTCGACCTCGCCAGGATTCACTGACACCTCGGCCAATTCACCAGTAAAGAAATGTTTGGCCAACGAGCTGAACGCCGTGTCTGCGAAACTGCCCCCTAAGAACAGAGAGAGCAGGCCAGGTAAACCCGCTGAGATGAGAAAATCCCAAAAGCCTGACCAGCCCCCAGTTAACCGCTCAACTTCCTACAATTTACACACGATGGGGAGCTCGGATCTGCCGAAGACGGGCCGAGAAGAGGAGCGCCTTCAATCCGGTCATAAAAAGAAATCGCAGGTGGAAATTATACGGCCTGCGACCAGCCCCCAGGAGAAGGCCTGCGGCGAAAAGCTGTGGAATCCTAAAAATTCTGTATCAGAGACGGGCACAAGGAATAGAGACCCCTTAGACGGAGATGTAAAGCATAAAACTAGAAAATATCCCAGCGAAGTTTTGACGCCTCAGCGAACTATGGGCGACTCTGATCATGTAATAAAAAGGCAGGAACCGAGCAAAGATTCGCAGCAGAAGTGCAACATACAAAAAACTAGATGTGATAAGAACAAACTTAGGATGGGCAATTTTTCGATTCGATCAATAGAGAGCTTGAAGAAGAAGTACGAAACCGGCATACAGCAGAAAGGGGCCGAAAACGAAAGCCAACCAAAAGACGTGCGTCTTAATGGAAACAGTGAGGATCTCATTCCGTCCAAGGGTGAGCAGAAAAATGTCACTTCGGTAGATAACATGAAAAATGTGCAAATATCTTCATCGCGAGCACGCCCACATTTCAGGGGCGCCATTACCAAAAGCCGTAAAAATTTGATGGTTGCCCCGCCAAACAACAAAACAGCAGGAACAGTGTCCAGCGAAAACTTTGGGGAGAACGTCAAAAAACTCGTCCACGAGACAATGGTCTCCAAAAGCCACGTCGAGACGATCAGTGACGCCGGTCGCCCGCGAGAAGTCTTGACCCGTTCAGACATCAACTGTCAGCACAAAGCCGCCGTCAGCCATGAGCTCGTCGGCACCAGAGGTCAGTTAAATGCCGACCACAAGGACTCCAAGACGAGGAAACTGTCAAAGTCTCCATTGCGAAATGAACATCCGTCAGGGCATAGCACGGAGAGGCTCGACCAGAACCTGTTCAAGAGGAGAATAATCAAACGCCAGGTGCTGAATCGCAGCACTACCGACACGCAAAGAACGAGGAAGGAGAAGCCTCAGAAAATTCAAGCGGCTAATTCTTCCATGCCGGAACTGAGCGAGAGGTCGAAAGTAGACGCAATGCCTGCTCCGAAACAACGCGAGCACCCCGAGTTTCCGCGTATGTTTGACAGGTTCATGGCACTTAACCTAACAAGCCCACAGCAAGCTCACGAAGCAAGCGACGCGGCGGACAAATCCAACGGGGCGATAGCAACGTCTGACAACTCCGAGGGAAGATGTCGCGTGGTGTCTGAGAATCAGAGCACGGTCAACGGCTTTGAGAGTAGCACGGCATTCCTGTCGGCTTCCGAGGGCATTATGAAAACGCAGGATTCGTTTCAAGCGGAAAGGTGCCTATCAAGGCGCCACAGAAATGCCAAGACCTCACCTTCGTCGTCGCAAGGCTCTTGCGAACTCATTGACTCCACGGTGAGTCGCAGGATGGTTGTATTGAAGAAGTCGGCCCTCGATGACGTAGTCAAAGATATGCAAACGCAAAAAAAGTAAAAAAAAAAAAAAAAAAAAAAAAAAAAAAAAAACAAAAAAAAAAAAAAAAAAAAAAAAAAAAAAAAAAAAAAAAAAAAATGAAAAAAAAAAATCCTGTAAAATAAAGGTTAATTAACATCATGTCCTGTGATACATCTTTATTACGCTGTATTCTCTGTGGTCTTGTTTCCCCTGTTGAATGCTTTCATTCGACACGTCTGCTGATTTGTTTAGTCTTTATTCAGGTTTTCCAACTAAGATTTAAGCTTTATTTCTCACTAGGAGTTTAGCCCCACAATGTTAACGAACCCCAGTGACGCCACTGTTTTATATAATATGTCTACTGTGCGTTCATTAGCCACATGATTTTTATGTTGACCCCGTTTAAGGTAAGTTACCCTTGTTCACTGACCTCTGTTACAAAACTATGTTATACAAACAGAAGAGTTGCTTTGTCAGTTCTACAAACTGAAACTCTTGAAACTGTCAGTTACGATCTGGTAAAATATCAAAACATTCAGATGACGCTATCGATATTATCAAATATAATGTCAGCCTGACCTTGCTGTGGGGAGCAGGTTGGACTACATTTTAATAACCAACATATATTTAGATGGGGTCAGTGTTTCTTCTGATGTGCCCCCCCCCCCCCCCCAATGCCCCAAAACCAAATGTGTAGGCCTACAACAATAAAATGAAAATATATTTTATCAAAAACAACCAAATTTTCACCCTTTAAACAATTTAAAAAAAAAATCAATTGGTGCCCTTAACCGATAACAATTAGTGGAATCTATGAAATATCGCTACGCTCGAAATATTTGATGATCAAAATATTTAAGCCTAATATTGTCAGAGCCCTACACTTTTCAATTATAAATATCGTACTGTTTCGAAAGTTGGCCGCACCCGATTCTTGTTGTTCGCATATATCGGTATTTTACTTAATTATCTTTTGGAGCTTCACACATATTAAAGACTTTTTAATAGCACGGTATTAAACTAACTTTACATCAATATCATGTTCTATAATCTTAAAACTTGTCTCGCTAAGTATCAAACAAGTGGAAATCTGTTTTTAAATGTATTAAATTTCATAATAAAAGAATGACCCTAAGGAAGGGATAGGTGTTAATATAATGTGTGTGATGGCCTCATGCCTAGAAAAATTGAAAACTACAACATGCATGGAATTGAGTAAATTGAACATTATGATAATAACTAAAGTTTTAAAGAATGAGGCTATCATGCATTTTATGATTCACGCGTATCCCTACTTAAAAAGTTATGTTTTTAATGATGAAAGATAATTTGAAAGCAGATTGCGCATCTTTACTTAGCAAGAACTATATTAAAATTACAGACCTCTCTATGATTCATATTGGTGTAAAAGGTAGTTTAATACAGTGTTATTAAAGAGTTTGAAAAAAAAACAACAACAAAAAAAAAAAAACAAAAAAAAAAAAAAAAACCGAAAATTATAAGAAAAAAAAGAAAAAAAAAGAACTATATTAAAATTACAGACCCTACAATGATTAATATTGGTGTAAAAGGTAGTTAAATACAGTGTTATTAAAGAGTTTGAAAAAAAAAACAACAACAAAAAAAAAAAAAACAAAAAAAAAAAGAAAAACCGATAATTGTGAGAAAAGAAAGTAAAAATGTGGCTTGTCATCAAGAGCGGCCGATTTTCGGAACAAAACGATATTTTTTCGGAACAACAAGGTTAGCCTCAAATGCACGAATCATCAAATATATCGAGCGTAGCGATATTTCTTGAATTCCCACTAATTTTAATTGGTAAAATGCACACGTTTCCAATACTTTTTAAAAAATGTTACACAAATGACAATTTAGTAGTTTTTATTATTTATAATAATAATTTTCGTTTTTGGTTATACCAATTTTTTTTTGAAAAAGAAAAGGGCGGGGGGTTCGGGGCGGCACTAGACTTGCTTGAGGGGACGATGACCAACACCCCTCCCAGGAGAGATGGCTGAAAATTTACTACGCTGGTCGTAACATTGAGAAAAGTTTAGTACGAAATATTATAAATATGAATTCAAATGATTGCGTAGTTTGAGATGTTTCATGATACTCTTGCTTCCAGTGTTCTATTCAGACACTGTGTTCCAGTGGAGAGAGTGGAAGGGGGTTTAACATTTCATATGTTCGAATGGGCAGTGGCAGTGGCGTAGGAAGGGTGGCTGAGGGGGGCATTGAACCCACTCTAGAGAATTTTTGATTAACTCAAAATCAAGGGGTGTGTTTGGCGTATTCCTGCATTCAGTGTTCCATGTAGAAAATTTGATCCAGGTAGGGGACACTTCAATGGGGGAGGGGTGGGGTAGGAAGCAGAGCCAGATAAAGCTACCAGTAACATGGTAAGTTGCCCGGGCACCCTGTCGTTAGGACGCCTTCAACACTCTTCCAAAAGAAAAAAAGAAAAGCCTTTCCTTTGGCGGCCATGGAAGAAAAAAAAAATTGAGGACAACATGTTTGTATGCCATACTACATGAATCGAATTTTGGTGCACTGGAAGTGATGCCAGAAGTCTCCGCTTACCGGAGTTTGGATTCGAATTTTAATTTGTGCAGAACATTACATATTTAGCGCCCTGGAGCGAATAAACTCGGTTTGATCCCTTGATTTTTGAAGTTAAAATAAATAGGTTATAAATAATAAATTAAAATAGCCAAATTGATTACAGTTGTGATTTTTGTAATATATTCCACACTGTAAGTAATTTAACTAACTCTCTTTCCAGTACTTTAGTAATTTATTCCCTATTTATACATGCATCAAAATGTAAAAAATATTTGAAATTTGCCGAATGAACCAGTAAAATTAGCACGTTTGTCATCTGCCCTTTTATATATAAAATAGATCAGTCCCTCGCGAAAATTCTATTCTTGTAATTTTTTAATTATTATTTTTGTTTTGTTTGATGCCATTTATAATAAAATGCCGTAAATGGTTTGAAATATCACCAATACAAACATTGATAAGGAGTTTCAGTGTCAAATCGAACCGCTGTCATTTGCTATTAGATTTTATGATGTAGAAGACATATCATTAAAAATAACAACTTTCTTAGTTATATATATATATATATATATATACGGTGATTATTTCGGGGGGTTGGGGGCACTTATTGTTGGACATATTTTTGCTCCGGGGTGGCACTTGGGAGATATAGCTGAAAGAAACCATGTATATATAAGACAGTTTTAGAAACTACAGGTCAAGGATCATTGAAAGTATAATTGACTTTTTGAGAAAAATTAAACTATACTTAATCAACTGCAGAGGCCAAGGCTACGACAATTGTTCCAATATGAAAGGAAAAATTAAAGGAGTGCATGCAAGGATTATGAAGGAAAATATCTGCCCTGTATCATAGCCTAAACCTAGTTGTCGGTGAAAGTGAAACATGTTGCCTGAAATCCACTACATTTTATTGTGGTACTATCCAGTGCATATTTGTTTTCTTTTCTGCCTATCCAGGACGATGGCATGTATTGAGAAAAAAACCAACAAGTTAACTGATTCACTGTAAAACCTTTATGCGATAATAGATTTGAAGAATGTCTAATTGCATTAATACAGCTGGTAATCAATGTTCCCTCTAAGGTTTGTTGGCTCGTGTGCAAAATCATAAAGTTGTGAGCAAATTTTTACAGCATCAATTTTTTTGTGCGCAAAATTTTACAGCCTACAGACACAAACACACACTTAAGTGGAAATTAGCTGCGCGGTACTCAAAGCTGCTGCGCGGCGTCTGTGAGATTACTGCGCGGCCGCGCAGCTTAAAGGGAACATTTCTGGTAATATTATCCTAACACATGCACCATTTCCTATGTGAGAATTTAACGCAAGGCAGGAGAGTTCGTATATTCGCTGGTTGTATATTCTTGTATCAATGGCTTATAAGCACATTGCAGTATGTGTAACCAGAACGATATACGGTTTCTTGTTATGCTCACATACACTGGTATCTAATTCCATTTAAGAATTCAGTGAACGGCTGAACGTTCAACCATCACCGTATCGTGGTTACAAGTCAAATTGACGTGGCTAACATGTGATTAAAACACTACCTAATATAAGTAATGATGAGAAATCTTCCATTACTAACACTTAACAATTGCATGCTACAAACAAAGAAATATAATGGCGTATTTGCTTATACTTTCAGAGCGCCCAAATGGGCCGAGGAGAACAATGGCGCACTTTAGGGATGCGATTAAACTTTGAATCAAAAACTCATTAGTGCACACACTATAAGTAAAAGTGGGCGAAAAGACTAGAGAGCAAGTCTCTTTCTTGCCTCCTGGCAGATTGCATGTGGTAAATTAACAATTCCTTAGCGACTCCAACCCGAATAAAAATCAAAATCCCGGACCAGACCAAAATCCCATAGACTTTTATGTGCCCACTCCCGTTTTGTCTCGGCTATCTAAGATACACTTTTATATTTCTATGAGTTAAATTAAAAAAAAAAGCAGATATTTTAAATAGAAGGGTGTTGGATCCCCCAATGGATGAATGTGAAAACTCCATTTATTGCTTAGTAATACAATGCCCTCTAAAGATGTAGACTTGTAAATATACTAAGTTATAGCGAATAAAATCCCCGATCCAACTAGATAAAATTTATAACTTAATACACCAAGGTTCGCGAGAAATAAATAATTGAACTTGAACCAAAAGTACACGTAGTGGGTTCCAATATTTAAGTACTCTACACAATGGGCAAGAGGGTATTCATGCTGCAAGTTATGATACCCTAACCCCTAATGTCAAATTTCCGCGTTGGGCGCTAAA